CAATATAGAAATGGTGGGTTCGCTCAAGAAATAGAAATTATTTGTATATTGAACAGGATTCTGTGTGTGTGTATGTATGTATGTATATATATATATATATATATATATATATATATATATACTCCCTCCGTTTCGAAATGTTTGACACCGTTGACTTTTTAGCACATATTTGACCGTTCTTCTTATTTAAAAACTTTTGTGAGATATGTAGGGCCTGTTCACTGTGCTGCCATTTTCAACCTTACCAAATTTTGGTAAAGTTGCCAAAAAAAAAGTGGCTATATTTAGTTTGCTACCAAATTTTGGTAACTATATAAGAAATCAGGTCAAAGTGAACAGGCCCTTTATATAGAGCTAGCTAGATTGTACTCCCTCCGTTTCGAAATGTTTCGACGCCGTTGACTTAAAATCATTCCGATTATTTTCTCGTAAGCTGCGGCATATTTTTTTTTATAGGAGTAGAATGCATGGTTGGCTCTAGGTTATAAAGGCTCTAATCGATTTGAGCAAGAATTATCAGCCGTAGAAAAAAAGAAAAATTATTTGCGAATAAAGCTTTTTATATTAGATGTGTTATTTACCTATTTACTTATGGTTTCAACGTTAAAAATTTAAGACTGAAAAATACGCGCTGAAAAAAAAAGCATAAAATTGACTCCAAAACACTTTTTAATTTTAAATTTTGTCCACGGCACATTCGTAATCGATTATGTGATCTGGTCGACGGGACGGGGATGGACCAGCCGTCCGAGAGCTCATAAGTCCATCCTCAATCACGGGAAATCGGTATAGTCGTTTACTCTGATTTGGAAACATCATTGGTATGAACAAACTTTTATCACACATACTTCATCCCATTTTGACTTATGGATTTTTATATCCAACGTCTTATTTGATTTTTTTTTATAATTAATATTTTTTTATTATAAGATGATAAAATATGAATAGCATTTTATGCATGACTTTTTTTAAAAAAAGAAATTCATAAATCTTTAAATTAGACGAACGATCAAATTGATAAGGAAAATGAAACCCACAGCTACACTAAAAATAGACGGTGGGAGTATTATCCAGGACAACTTATGGAAAACGGTACTGGTACGAATTAATATATGCTGTTAGTAGCTAGGAGCACAAATTAAGCTTTGATTGAGTGTTACTACTCCTACATCACACTGCTAATTAAGTCTGACCCAAAATGCCGCCAGCTGTCCGCACTCCACACTGGTCATGAGCGTCTGATCAGTGATCAGTCCGTACCAAGTTGTACTAAAAACAAAAGGTGTACTGCTGCTAATCAAGCCAAAACACGGTGCAAGCTAAATACTCTACTCCTATGCGTCATCTGGTTAAGCTACTTCACCAACTTGCTGCTACTAACTTAGAGTAATTACAGAAACTAATCATTAATTAATTAAGCATGAACTCCTTGCACTAATGCATGCAGCATGCATGCAATGCATCACTTTGGCTGCTGCTTGCCGGGCTTGAGGGTGGACGACGCGCCGGCGCCGGCCGCGGAGGCGGCGGTGGGTGGCCGGTGCTGGGTCGTCGTCGACGTCGAGGAGGCGGCGGCGTGGTTGGTGTTGAGCTTGGCGAGGAGGGCCTTGTTCTCCTGGTTGAGTGCCTGCGCCTTCCTCCGCAGCCGCTCGTTCTCCTCCATTATGTACACGTTCTCCAGGTACAGCTTCAGGTTCACCCTCTCCATGCCAGTCGATCTCGATCTCCTGCACTCAAAAATGCCCAATCAATTAATTCCTAGTCAACTAATTACTAGCATTTGCTGCATGCTAAGACATGACTCAAACGGTAGCTAACTAAGCCATGCATTCTTGCATCGTCGTACTAACAGTTACAAATGACGCAGGATCATGCAACCAAGAAATGTGCAAGTTGCTGATGAGAAGATGATCCATGGAAAATGGAGCAGTTTCAACTCGAGACAGATAAGAAACACCAAGTAGTCCCTCACCTTTGATCTGAAGATGCTGCTGAGCTAGCTAGAGAGAAGGAAGAAGGAAGATAGTACTGGGATAGCAGGTTTGGCAGAGGAAGAAGAGGAGATTGTTCTTGAGCTGTGCAGAGCAGTGGTGTTCGCGTAGACGGCCGTCTACTGTATTTATAGCCCTCGTGGAGTATAGTGGCTGTATGTACTGTGTACTGTATATCTGCTCTGCTCTGCGGGTCAATCACGGCCTGCAGTTCAGAGTTGAGAATGAAATCGCGATGAATTGATGACGCACTTCTGCTTCGCTCAAAGATACGCAATCATTCCTCTTCCAAGTTCCAAAGTTGAAATGGTACTCCAGCTTCTTCTTCCTTCCCAGTAGAGTCTCTCTCGTGAATCATGATGTGGTTTGAACTGTAATGACAAATCGTTCAAATCAATTTGACTTCATTTGACTAAAATCAAATGATGGAAATGCAGAGTACTCTGTCCAAAAAAGAAGGGAGCAGCAGCAGCCAGCCAGCCAGCAGAGAAGCAGTGGCAAGGCAACTCCAGGATGTAAATTGAGGTGATGCTAGTGTAAAAAATATAATATAATTAAAACAAGTAAAGGTATATCAACTAAACTATTTTCCAATGAAAATGAAATGCTCATATGATCAAAAGAACTTTTTCTATTTTGATTTGTGGCTATATTAAAATGTTCATAAGTATCTGTGAATATATTGTTTTGTATACTCGGAATAAATTATGTTTTATCAATTTGGGTAGTAGAATCAGTGAGGCAGCTTGCATCCTTGCTATCTAGGAAATTTCTTCACTAATAACGCCGTGTTTATTCCAAAGTAATTCTTCAAACTTCTAACTTTTTCATCACATCAAAACTTTCCTACACACACAAACTTCTAACTTTTTCGTCACATCGTTCTAATTTAACCAAACTTCCAATTTTGGTATGAACTAAACACCCCCAACTTCCAACTTTCCATCATATCACATCACATTCAAAACATCCATACACACATAAACTCCTAACTTTTTTTCCAAACTACCAACTTTTCCCAAACTTTAAATTTTTTTTAGGAACTAAACACATCCAACTAATTAGACTTGTTAATGACTATAACTAGGAACAGGGATTACACACCAACCAGCCTCAACAGTGGATCCGCCACTGCCGAGAAGTCGAGAAGGAACATTTACTCTTGCACTCGATTATGGCCTACTCGTAGTAGCAGTGTGGTGAAGTCAAGTCTTTGCTCTCATCATCTGATCTCGCAACGGCAGATCTCTTCTCTTGCTGTTCCAAGGCAGCAGCTAATGATGATCAGCATTCAACCTCCACGTCTTCTCTTCTTCCTTCCATCACTTCTGCTTCCAAGCTTCAATTGCTCTCTCGATGAGCATTATTGCAAGAGCTAGCAGAGCAGCTATCATGGCGGCATGGCGCATCACTTCATACAGATCACACCACGATTCGATGTGAACAATGCATCATGCATGTCTTATGAGCACACCGATTAGTGCGAGTACAAATCTTGAATTGTCGGTGTGTAGAGAGATTTTGGGTCCCGGAGAATTGAATATGACTAGTAGTAGATTCTACAGACATTTTAACATCTGCACTGAGTGACATTTGAGAATTTAGCAATTCCCATAAAACAATATGCATAGCATACAGAAATTTGTTCAAACTACTCAAGATATGGTTCCAATGACCGAGCTTTTTTGTTGGTTTACATGAATCTTGTAGACTTGTACTCCGTACTGTACTATACTACTTCATCTGAATTTCTGATCTGATGGATGGGCAAGGGATGGATGCAGCAGGTCCTACTACCGGCAGAATAATCTTGGATTCGAGATTTGGATTCTTGGTCTGATCTGACATGTTGACCTTGTAGCAGCATTGAACTCCATCTGTATGACTGGATGTGTGTGTCCGTCTTGCATTGCAATGTGCAGCACAGAGATCATCATCATGACAGAGCCAACTGAAGCTGGCGTCAGGAGTTGCATTTTCGTAAAGGGAGATCTCATGGCGCCTATAGATACGAGCACCCCATTTCTGTGAGTTGTGATCAAGACTTCCTGCTGGTAGTTGATGATTCTGCATCTCCTCTGACAACAACACAAATGCATCCTTTGCATGCATTACTTGAGAGTAGTTAAGGGTGTGTTTAGTTCACGCTAAAATTAGAAGTTTGATTGAAATTGAAATGATGTGGCGGAAAAGTTGGAAGTTTGTGTATGTAGAAAAGTTTTGATGTGGTGGAAAAGTTGGAAGTTTGAAGAAAAAGTTTGGAACTAAAATCGGCATAAATAGGGCAATTGAAATGGATGGATTGATTGATGGTAGCACTCCTATTGAGTTTTAATTATTACCAACTTAAAAAATACATTTGTAATTATTACCATTAGCAATTTAAAAATCATGTTAATGAAAACCGAGATAAAATCTGTATCTTAATCAGAAAAGAGCATGATCTAACTAAATACAAGAAGGTAATACCAAGGATAGGTGCAATTCCCAGTGAACAAAAACACATTAGCTAGTGATATACTTTTACGAGCACGAGCAAGATCAACTTGGGATAATGGCACCGCATGTGTAAACTTGTCAGTACTGAAGAAGAAACATTGTGTTACTTAAACAATCTTCAGCAGTTAGCAGTCTGATGATTATAAATCAAGTTGCAGCAGCAGCAGCAGCAGCAGCTTGTAAAGGACTGGCAATTTTATCTGAAAGAAAAAGGGAGAAAAGGAATGGGCAATTGGCAATTGGACTAGCTGTTTCTTCCTGGATTATTGACCATTTTATTAGCTTTCGGTCATCTACTAGTACTATACTACAACCAGAATATTCCCCTAGAAGAGATTAGCAAATCGACAACAGAAGCAGATAGGAGACCGCCCACCAACCCGAATATTTACTCTCCTTTACTTAAGGAAGAATTAAACAAAGACGTAATAGTTATTAGTAGCATCAGCTACTGATCATTTTCATACCTAAGCAAGATCTATCACCACCAAAAAAAAAATCATTAACAAGTTCACAATCAATAAGCGCTTCCATGATCAACAAGTTCACTGCAATGGTTCGAATAAATTCACAACAAAATTGAGCTACATTTCTCCTTACAAAGCTCCCAAATCTGACACACATCTTGTGTCCGTATCTCCTCCCATTCCCCCTGATTTACAAATTACAATGGGATTCTACGTATCGAATATGAAATCAGTTTCAATTTTACAACAAAATTCAGCAGCAGCTACACATACACCCACGTCGGGGTCACCGTCACCAGTGCAACCTCACCGGCGGCACGGTGAAGCCGTGGGCGTCGTCGAGGAAGGGCACCGCCGCCGGCCGCGCCTGGAGGTCGCCGTAGAAGTCGTACTCCGCCTCGTAGTCGTGCAGGTCCAGCTCCTTCTTCTGGTTGGTGTGGTAATGGTGCTTGGCGCCGGGCGACTTGCCGAAGCCGAAGAGGCTCACCTCGTCGCAGACGCCGAGCGCCATCACCACCGCCTGCATCCCCGACGAGTAGTGGAAGTACCTCTCGTCGTGCCTCCGCGTCCAGTTCGCCGCCGGCTCGCCGGTGGCGGAGACGAACCGCCTCAGCGAGTAGTACTTGGCGATGCGCGCGCACAGCGCGTCGAGGCGCGCGTCGGTGACGAGGAGCGGGAACGGGGAGGACGGCGTGGCGGTGGCGTTGCAGATGAGCGCGTCGAGGAGGTGGGCGGGCTGGCAGACGTACATCGCCATGGGCACCTCGCCGCCGTACGGGTGGCAGCCGCAGGCGGCGCGGGTGATGGCGTTGCGGGCGGCGCAGATGTGGAGGATGTTGGAGTTGACGAAGGAGAGGGAGGTCTTGACGCCGACGTCCGCGGCGAACCCGGCGACGCGCGCGTTGTTGAGGCGGATGACGAGGTCGTGCGCGTCGATCTGCGGGCCACGGCCGGAGCCGAGGAGCACGCCGCTGTTCCCGACCACGGCGCAGGTCCGGTACCGGCGGCCGAGGACCCCCGCGAGGTCGCGCATCACGCCGGCCACATTCCCCCCGCGGCCGCGGCGGCGGCGGCCGGCGAGGAACGACCCGAGCGATGCCCTGAACGAGGCGAGGAGCTTCCCGTCGGGGGGGAGCGCGTCGACCGGGACGCGGAGGCGGGCGACGGTCTTGGGCCGCGGCGGGGCGCGCGGGGAGAAGGCGTACGGCATGCGGAGGTAGAGCAGCCGGTGGTGGTTGCCGAGGCTGGGGAACGTCGAGATCGACGCGTTGGCGAACAGCGCGGCGGCCTCGGCGAGGATCTGGCTGGATCCGGCGCCATCGTCGGCCGCGAGGCGGCGGAGGAGGGGGTCACCGACGGGGTGGCGGGACGACGACGACGACGACGGGGGGCCCTGCAGCACGAGGAGGCGGCGGCGGAAGGAGAGGGAGAGGATTGAGAGGAGGAGGAGGACGAGGACGGGCGGGAGGTGGCGGCGCTTCATCCCCGGCGGCGGTGAGGTCGCCGTCGTCGGTGATGGTGGCGAGATCTAGTGGCGGCTGCCATTTAGAGCTCGAGTGGTGGTGGTCGCCGACGCGGCGAGTGAGTGGGGTTGGGGAGAAATTAATCAGAGCCAGGGAGAGAGAGAGATGTGGTGGGACCCACCCCGACCCAAGTGGGTGATTTGGGTGGATGACATGTGGGGCCAGGGATGAGGTGGGGTCGGTGTGTGGTTGGGCTGCAACGGTGGGGCCCAGGGGCCGGGTTCGTTCGGTGAGTGGTTGCTGTTGTGAGAAACGGTTGGTTGCGACGCACGCTCACAACGAATTCCCAGAAGTAGACCGACGAAAATATGGTTTGCACTTTGTGTGAGTGAGAGGCAAAGGTTAGGGAGGTGAACTGATACAGCGATATTCTGTCGTAATCTCAAAGAATCACTGGTAGTTCATTACGTAAGTTTGATAGTAATATGAATCTAATTTTTTTTTCTCGTTAAGATATAAATTTTACCTCATTTTTTATTACCATGGTTTTAAGTAGGTACATTCTATGAGAAAATTTTATATATAAAAGTTGATTTAAAATATGAAATAAAATTTTCAAATTTATAATACTTAAAAATTAATTAACTATGCGTTAATGGTTTTCTTATTTTTTTTAGAAACGAACACTGCCATATGTGGATAATATTTTATTGTGGCAATTGCATCTGTACCCCAATTTCGAAGCCAATTGCTGTTTTACCCCCACTTTTTTAGAGTTTGCAGTTTTACCCCTACTTTTTGAATCTGAAGCAGCCATGTGCCCCTGCTTCTAACAGCCGGTTTTATCTGTGTTACTTGTAGAGGAAAAGGACAATTATGCTCTCAGTGGTTATTGCAATTTTGCTCCAATTTTTTCAGCTTCGTGTGATTTTGCACGCCGAATTCTCTCTTCACGACGAATTCTCTCTTCACGGCAGTAATCTCAAATTAATTGTGGATTACGTTTATCATGAATCAGATTAACGAGAGATTTAACAGACGTTTGGAATTTGCGGCAACACGAAACGGCTCAGGGTTTCTACTTCTGCGGCGATTGCGCGCGTTGGTGGAGATGGAACCAATCCCGTGAAACCAACCAAATCAAACCGAACGAAGAGCGCACACACGCGAAGGATCAAACCGAACCAAACCAAACCATACGTGCCGCCACGATTAACCGCGCGGCGAGAGCGTGGTTTGTTTTCGAGGGGTTGCGGGCGAGCAAAATCACCTGGTGGCGGTACTTGTAGTAGCCGTTGGAGCCGGCGATGAGGACGGCCCATCTGGTGTCCTCGGCGGCGTCGTCCTCCGCCACCGCGTCATCCGCCACGCCGCGCTCAGACGGCAGGCGGAGGTTGCTCTCCTCCTCCCCTCATGGTTCCTCCATCCGCGGCCGCGTGCCCGCGCCACCGCGACGGCGAGGAGCGCGAAGAGGAGCAGCACCGCGAGCGGTGGCAGGACGAGGCGGAGGCGGAGGCGAGTGCGCGCCGCCAGGGCTTCCCGTCCTGTCGCGGCGCGGCGAGGCACTGTTCCGTGCGGAGGAAGAAGAGGCGGGCTGTCTACCTCCTGGGAGCGGGCGCCGGCGCGGCCGCACGCCCTCGGCCACCGCCGCCTCCCCGCCGCGCGCTCTCGCTGTCGCCTCCGCGCCGCCCCGCGCTAGGGATTCGACCTGCTTTTCCCGTACGCACGGGTGGAAGACTCACTCAACCCTATCCACTCTCAGGGGTACAAAGGTAATTTCATAATTACCCTTTTTTTATTTTCCTTTGTATTTCTTTAACGCACAATGTGGGACCCATCAAACGGCTGTCACAAGTGAGGGTAGACGGTTGCTTCAGATTAAAAAGTGGGGGTAAAAATGCAAACCCTGAAAAATAAGGGTAAAACAGCAATTGGCTTTTAAAGTAGGGGTACATATGTAATTATCCCTATTTTATTTGTCATGTTACTACGAGTTACGAGTATTGAATGGTTGAAGAAGAGGAAGATCAAAAATGCTGGAATTCTTCGTATCTTCGCCACACTGATGGCGAAGGCACTTCAGTCCAGCTTCACGTGATCCATCATGCCTGAACTTCTATTCTACTCCTATCATGTTGCTTAAGCTGTTTGCGAGTACTTTTTGGGATCTTCCATGTTCATCAAATCCTTCAAAACCAAGTGACACATAGTTTAGTTAACCAGGGTCTCACATAAAAGAATACGCTAATCCAGGATGTTATAGCCGAGGGTACAGGAAACAGTACTGGATCTTCCGACCTCCGCGTCGCCCTCTCGCGCGGGCGACACGGAGGGCAAACCCTAGCCCCCGCCGCCTCCTCCCTTCCTCTCCCACCCCTCGCCGCCGCCGGAGTTCCGCGCGACCAACCGTGAGGGCGGCGGCGAGGCCTTTCCCCGGCGACGCGACGACTCAGCGCGAGGACGACGACGCGGCGCGCGATGGGCGGGCGACGGCAACGGCGCGGCATGAAGCTTCGGATCCGGCGGTGCCACCACCGGATCTGGCACCCCCGTGGCTGGATCCGGCGCCCTGCCGCTGGACCTGGCCGGAGGCGAGCGTCACTACCATCCGCACGGAGGAGGCGGAGCGGCGGCGCTTGTGCTGGCGGTCGGCGGGGTGGAGGCCGGAGTGGGCGGGGTGGAGGCCAGAGTGGGCGCGGCGGAGCTGGCCCTCCCGCGGTCTGACTGGAAGGGGGCGGCGGGGAGCGCTGGACCCGGTGCCCGGTGGCGGCTAGCGGCGCATGCTACAGCGACGGCGGGCCGGCACGACCTCGTCGGCGCCACCCCCCCCCCTCTCCCCACTCGTCGGTGATGGCTAGGCTTGGCGCGCCGATCCGGGACCCTAGCGGTCGGATCTGGGGTTGTCGCCTCGTCGCGCGGCGCGGTGGACGGCAGTGGCAGGAGCGGCGCCGCGTCGAAGCGGCCCCGGCGCTGAGGGCGGGTTCCGGCCGGCATGTGCCTCGGGCGGCGTGCACCGCGACAACGGCAATGGTGGTCGGTGCCCCGGCCCTCGGTCGATGCTCAGGGGCCTACGTGCCTCCGGAGATGCTGCGGCTAGTGATGGCACGACTTGGCGGTGCGTCCTGCGGGTGCCGTCGCCACCGCACCTTCGTCGTCCCTTGCAACAGAACCTCTTCCGCTTCCCCTCCCCCTAGTATCCTCGTTTGTGTGCCCTCTACCCCCTAGTTCCAAACATCGCTGATGATTTTGCCCTTCAACTTCTTCTCAATCTGGCGTGCTTGTTTGGAAATTGTGCTCCTCTATCAGCTCGGATTGCTACGGTTCTATGCCCTCCTCCAAAAGTTGTCGTTGATGTTTTTCCTCTGTGAGAATCCCCTTAGCCATTTCCCCTTCTGTCTAGCCCCGTGCTCGTCTTCACCCTCTTTCTCCAGATGTCCAGGACCGCAAGGATCAGTGTTTCTCCCTCCTTTGAGGCTTCCTTCCCTTGAAGGGCGTTGGAGAAAGTTGATCTAACAAGCAATTTGATAAAGCCTGATTGAAGAAAACTTAATGCGGGTGGCCTCGAGCCGCAACCTTCAGTGGCCCTCCCTCCTTTAGGGCTTCCTTCCCCCAAAGGGCGTTGGCGAGCTCTGATCCAAACAACAACAAGATCAAGTCAGCTTCTTGATGGCTTCATGCTGGTGGCTTTGGACTTCAACAGCATTCCCTTGCCTCTCTTTTTTTCGACATGCTTGTGGCTGTGTGAGGAATTGGATGTTGCTTAGTTGGGGTTTAGCAGTAGGTTTTGGAATTTGGCAAGATAATTTTGCAGGTGTCGTTCATCAATTGTAATCTTTTAGGAGTTTTTCTTTCTCTATTCTCTCTTCGTTGTATTTCTCCGTGTATTCTGTTTTTCTATCCTCCAGGGCCCCAGGCCCCCTGCGCTTGCGTAGGTAAAGCTTGCTCTGTGTAAGATCATTTGGCTCAATATATTTAGGTGGGGATTCTCTTCCCCCGGTGATTTAGTCAAAAAAAAAAGGATGCTATAGCCCATCACATGACGGCATTGGAGTGTTAGGAGTCATAGTACCTGCCCAAAACATGTTGACGATACCCATAGTAACGGATCCAGGATTTGAGCAAAGGGTATTCAAAGTTGAAAAAAAAAATCATACAGAACTCAAAAAATTGGACTGGGAAAATCATACAGGAGTGGTAATGACATGTTTAAAGCCTTAAAGGTACAAACAGTAGCACAATAGTCAAGATGTCTATCTCCAAATGCACACTTGGGGACATATCACTATCATGGGCATTGGGTGCTTCAAGTAGTAGCTGAATAGGACTAGAAGGGGCATTTTCTGGGATCTGAACTTCACTCTCATTGGTTAATGGTTTTGGATCAGAGGTGGAAGCTACTTTCTGAGACTTGGTTGACCTTTCCCACAAAGACTTCAATTCTTCTTCATTTTTCAAATTTCAAGACCTACAGTTCAAATTTCTGACTGACTAATTTAACTTCTAAGCAATAGCAATTAAGCAATGGCCAATCGATTGGGGAATTTGACAAGAGGATTTATTTTACCAGTGTCAGTCCACTGTCCAGCCGTCTAGGGACCAAGGGGACGCGCCGACGCGGGGGTGTGTCGCCGCAACTGGCTGCCGCCGTGCGCCGCAACGCCGCCGCCATCCGTGCGAACCTCAGCTGCTCAGCGTCACCCGTCCCCAAGGAGGCGGCGGTGTCGTCGCAGGCCGCGCCACCTCCGCAGCAGCAGGCCCAGGGACCAGGGTCCAGGGAGATGAGGCTGGTGGCGATTCTGGCGACGCGCCGAGCCGGCGGCCGGCGCCGCCGAGCGTCATGCTCTCGATGCCCCGTCGCCCGTCGGTGGGGATGAGTGGAGGCGTGGCGGATTGGGGCTGGGACGACAAGAGGGGTGGGGACTGGCTGACTGGGGGATAGGAACTAGGGATTTGTTCGTTTTTGGGCCAGTGGGCCTATTCGTTGGGCCAAGATGGGGAGGAATGTATGGTCTGTTGCGAATAAATGGGCTTCTTTTCATTTGGACTATACATGCTGCACTTCCTTCTAATTTCTCATGTATATATGCATAACATACCTATATATAGTTTTTTTTTTAAAATTCTATGGGTATTCAGGTGAATACCCATGAATCACATGGGATCCGCCCCTGACCAATAGTACATGTATTATATATCCTCGTATTATTTTCTCCCTTTTTACATACGCACGCTTCCCAAACTAATAAACGGTGTATTTTTAAAACTTTTAATAGAAAAAATACTTAAAAAACATATTAATCTATTTTTCAAATTTAAAACAATTAATAATCAATTAAAGGTCTATTTAGTAGGGCTCCAACTCCTAAATTTAGCTCCAAGGGCTCGGTCTGGAGTAGAGTTGTGGAGCAGTCTAAATCCAGCTCCACATCTCTAGTTCATTTTGTGAAAAAACTCCAGCTAATTCTAGTCACATTTTGGATGGAACTGAAACTATTTTTCTGGACTCTGGCTTCAGGATAAGTGGAGCCAAAGCTCTGCCAAACATGCCCTAATTATGGGTCTCAATTTTGTCTCTTGATCTTCTCATCTCTTCTCAAACACACCATGGGTCAATTGGATTCATGCCATTACAAATGTGCATGTTTTAAAAAATATCATCACAATTCACCTAATTAGAAGGATACCATTACAATTTTTCATATATCTTAAATATGCCATATTCTACGTCCCAAAGGCTATTGGACCCATGAATAGACCAATGTATTTTCGTATAGTCTAAAATACCCCCATATACACCCCGCTGACATGTGGACCCTGTCGTCCATATCTTCACGGCCACAGAGAGCAAGGCATCGAGTCACGACGCCGCTGGCCAGCTGCACGCACCGTCATCCCTCACCCGCGCACGTGACTACCTGTCGGCTGCTCGCCAACGCCCCCGCCCAAGCCACCCGTGCCATTAACCCTCTCCTCGAGCTTGGCGCTAGCTCCGCCATCACCTACCCGAGCTCGCATGCTGCTTTCATCCTTTCGGTGCGATGGATGATGTGGCATAGAGGGCAGATCCGGCGCCCGGCTCCATCACTGTCTTGGGGAGTAGGGATGGCAACGGGACGGGGCGGGGCCGGGTTAGGCTGGAACGCCACCGTCCCCGACCCCCGACTTCACCCCCCGCCCCTGGCCCTGACTGTTGATACGGGGCCAAATCAACCCCCGTCCCTGATCTCTCTGGGGCCCCGCAACCTGACCGGGGCCCCACATTGGATAGCATCTCCATCCAATCAGGAAAAAAAAACAAGACATTCATCAAATTGGCAAAAACAAAAATTGCACATACTTGACACACCATAAAAAATAGGATGAATCGTCGGCCACCGTGAATCGCCGGCTGCCGCCGCACCTATCCCCTCGCCGGCCGCCGCCGCACCTATCCCCTCGCCGGCCGTCGCGCCTTTGCCGCAACCTCACTGGCCGCCGCGCTCTTGCCACAACCTCGCCGGCCGCCGCGCCTTACCATGTGATCGGGTCTATGCGCCATCCCGTGCGTCGTTTGCACTGCCGGAGGGAGAGGTGGAGGTGGACTCTTGAGGGAGAAGTGAAGGGGACGGGATGGGAGGCTGGAGGGGAGAGGAGAGGAGGGGAAGGGAGAGGGCGACCGGCGACGACGAGATCCAGAGGTGCGCCGTGCACCCTGCGCCGCGCCACCGTCGTGCGCCCTATGCCGCCCAACCGCCGTGCGTGGTGTGGACGGGAGGGAGATGGGGATGGGGGGACTAGTGAGAGGATAAGGTTAGGGTTTAGTAATTTTGTTTATATATCTCCGTTTTTTTCTGGGTTGGACTGTTTTGGACCTTTTATGGGCTATATTTTGAGAGTTCATATACACTCCCCGGCCAGCGGGTCACCCGTGGGTGAAATGTCTCCCCCGTCTCCTCCCCGCCCAAATGTGGGTCCCCGGCCCCGACTCCCCCGTAGGGGACCCAGTCCTGCGGGGGAAATTGCCATCTCTATTGGGGAGTTTGTCGACAACATCAAGCTTCGTCGCTGCCTCTGATACGGGGAAATGTAGCAGGATCAGCAAGGAGAGGAGAGGAGGCGCGAGAAGAGCCAGAGCAAGGTGGCACCGGGGAGACGCCAACGCACCGCCGGTGGAGCAGGTATGGGTGCGACGGAGGGAAGGTTGTTTGCGACGAGGCTAGACTCCATGACGGCGGCGGCGGCGTCTCCTGAACTAACTGTCGGTGAAAGATTTACCCACAATTTATGCCAAATGACATCTACTTGAATGATGATGATGAAGTCATGAAGAGTACTTTTTCACCTAAACCCTTTCTGAATTAGCCACACTTCCTATTTGGATTACCCAGAGTTTTACTAAAATTTTAAAATACGTATAGACTATAGTATAAATGCATACACCTTGTCACATATAGTGTATATTTTAGTTGTCAATCAACATTAAAATTCAAGAAGCTTTATTGCTTCTTTGGTACAGTACAAAGTATATACATTTATAAACCGCTTTACAAAGTAGTACGAAGTATTTACAAAGCTTTATGAGGTGTGTGTTTCTTTGTACGAATGCACTTCTAGTCCAATCAATTTATAAATTAGTTTTGCTAATAAAAATATGGTTTCATATCATAACTTACAAATTAACCATATACTATATAATTTATGTGAGAGAGATTTATCAAGTAGTATAATCATCAAGAGAATCACACTACCTATCGTCATCCTAGTTTCTCACACATCAATACAAGCTGATGGAATACTTCTTGTTGCAAGCCGGGTTGGATGCGAGGCTGGTGATCCACACCTCGTCGGCGACCACCGCCTCGTCGTCGTCGTTCCGCCGCCACGTCCACAGCGCGTGCGTGGCGTTCACCACCTCCAGCCTGCCGTGCCCGAAGCTCGCCTCCCTGAACGCCGACGCCGCCGGCTGCGGGTCGACGTACCTCGTGGCGAGCCCCTCCCGGTTGCCGCCGTCGCCGACGGTCACGTGCACCGGCCCGCACGCGTCCTCGCCGCCGCCGTACACCCGCGCGAACCTCTCGTACGCGTGGACGTGGCCGGCGAACACCGCGTCGACGCGGGCGCCGTAGAGGAGCTCCTCCATGGCGGCGCGCATGGCGTCGCCCTCGCCGCGGTGCGCCCTGTTGCTGTTGTACCACGGCGCGTGCACCAGCGCCACCACGAACGCCGTCTTGGCGCGGTCGACCCCCGCGAGGTCGCGCCGCAGCCACCGGTGCTGCGCCGAGCCGGCGGCGTAGCCGGCGTAGGACCCCAGCATGACGACGTGCACGGCGCCGCCGGCGACGTCGAAGGAGTAGTAGAGGTTGGACCCCGACGGCGACGCGCCGGCGTCGTGCGGCATGCGCCACCGCGCGTCGTACGCCGTGAACGGCCGCGGGTGGATGACCGGGATCCTCTCCACCTCGTGGTTGCCCTCCGTCACCATCCATGGCCGCGCGCTCGCCAGCGGCTCGACGAGGCGGCCGAACGTGTCCCACCGCGGCTGGTAGAAGTCGGCGTACGACAGGTCGCCGGGGAGGAGCAGCATGTCGTAGACGTCGGCGGCGACGTGCCGCAGCGTCGACGCCGTCCACCCCGTCTGGCCGAGGTCGCCGACGACGACGAACTTGAACGGGAGGCTCGCCGGCGGCGTACGGAAGGAGAGCTCGCGCGACGTGTCGTTGCTGCAGCGGTAGAAGTAGGTGGTGCTGGGTTTGAGTGGGCCGATGACGACGTCGTGGATGTTGCCGGAGTGGTAGAGGACGTAGGAGTAGGTGGTGGTGTTTCCGGCCGCCGAGAATGGGTACTCGCCGGAGACCGTGCCGTACTCCACGGTGGCCGGCGCGTCGTCGTCGGTGATCCACGTCACCCTCATCTTGTCAGAGCCTACAGCTGATATATGCACCTGAAGTTTCAGCAAAATGTGTCAAGCTCACTAGCAAATGAAGTTTAGCTACAGTTAATTGCCAAGTCATTTGTCAACTATTGCAAAAGGGTAATTTTAATTTTTATCATTCTTGAGAAGATACACTTCATTGTTGCAAAAACTGTAGTAATCTGATAGACAAACTGTAATCTTATTCAGAGCAGCGATTGAGTTCTCTGAACACAGATTCAGGAAGAAACTGGGTTCTTGATTTTCTCTGAGGTTTTTCTTTGGAAATCAGTTTAATTTCCTCTCAGATTCTATGATATTGATCACCTTCACTGGCATGACTTTGCAATCTTCTAAGCTGTACATGAACATCAATTTCAGGCTAAATATATAGCAATCCACAATTCATTAACATATTTCTTTAATTATTTCACTTTCTTTCTCAGAAATTTCATGGGCTATCTTTCTACTGGCAAATAATACGCCAATGCTATTGCTTATTTTGTTAGCTAACTTGATGATTCAGAAGAAAGACAGCAACATAATTGTAGTTTATGTTTTTTTAACTCTATTACATATATACCGAGCCATACATGTATACTAGCTAGCAGGGACAACAATGGTAATAAATGATTGTGCTTATTAAAAAAATTTGGGCATGGGTGCAGTGCCCACAAGTTTCAGTTGCTAATCCACTCATGTTAAAATTGACCTGAATAGATTGAAGCACATATTTGCAATTGACTTTTGTTCCAACTCAACATGTGGTAGGAAATTTTGGTCCAACTTTGTTTCTCATATTTTTCAAGTAGTACCAGGGCTACCATGCATGAAAATGACAAAATTAATATGTATAAAACCGAGTACTTGCTTCCTGATTCATGCAAACTGTCTAATAGAACCGTCTAGACTCTAGACCCCTCACCACTTCTTCTGAAATTACTTGAAATATAAACTTCATTCTTCAGAAAGAGAGATTAAGCATCATGCAGTACAAAATATAAATCATTTTCCGGTTATGATCATTGACAATTCTGACAACATGAATAACATATAATCTTTTCAACACAGATTATGTTGAAACTTAATGTATGCAGATAATTGAGATATTTCTTTTCAGAACCTCCAACAGAAAAAGAAAAGGATGAAGGATGGCTCAGGAGTCAGGAAGATTACTGTACTGAAACTATGCATGCTGATTACTTGCACTATCAGCAAAATTTACAGAAAGTAACTTTTCGTATTACTCATGATTGAGCACAAAGAAAGAACTCATAAGTACTCAACTTTCTGTATGGTCGAAGCATTCATTCGTGTACGTAAACATTTTCAGATTCCTCTGAAATCGATCGAACCAACGAGCGAAAGAAAGAAAGAGGAGGAGAACACATCTGACATGGACATCGACCGATCGAACGAGAGCTTACCTGCTGCGGCGTTCGGCCATCGCCGTCGTGGAGCACGGACAGCGTCGCCCTCGCCGTCGGCCGCACGTACGTCGACGTCACGGCCAGCGATGCCGCCGGCGGCGGCAGCAGCGGCACGGCGGCGGCGAGGAGGACGACGAGACGCAACGCTGCTACGCTCGCCATTGCCATATGGTCACAAGCTCACAAAAGTCGTCTCTCGCCCAAATCGATCAGTCGACGATATTGGACAAGCTTGCAATTGCATGCAAGATGAGAAGAACTATATATATCAGTCGATATGACACAACAAGAGGCGCATAGATATATAAAGCCGTGTAAATCTAATCTAAACTATGCGGACAACGAAAGTACATGATATATAGATAGATAAATAGATATAGCCTGCCGTGAGTGAGCGAATGTCGTCCAAATTTGGATACATTTCAGCTGCAAATCAAGCTTCTGGATATAGTGTTTCGTCAGCTTTGGATGACTTGTCTTTCAAATATTTTGCTCCCTTAAGAAACAGAAACCGAACAATATTTTCATAACAAAAAAAAAGAAAAGGAAAGGAAAAAGAAACAGAGGAGAAGGCTGGCTTTGTTGAGTGCAGAAATGGGGAAGCTCGGAGAAGCTCATGTTCTTCTGCCGGATGCTTGGCTGGACAATGTAAGCAATTTCCACGTGTCCATCTGACCATCACTATGAAATATTTCGCTTTTTTTAAGATAATGATGATTATGAAAAATTTATTATGCTAAGCATATTCCATTTTGGTATGGCGAGTTGACGACTTTGCTTTTCTTTGAGAATTGAGACACATGCAACTGTACTTTATATATAGAACACTGTCCTTGCTGGCTGCCTAATTGTATGATCAACATGTTAAGGGAGCATTAATTATGTTTTTTTTTCTAGTATTTAGCTGCCGACCATGCCTGAAATAAGTAACCATCAAGCATGCTAAACAATATAATTTCTGTGGTCAACGAAGGAAGGCAGTTTGATCAGGAGATTATTTCTTATATAAACGTACGATGGTCGTTGCCGTGTTTTCCTTTTTAGGATCTCCCAAAAAATTGAAATGCTCTTAATTAGATAATTAATCAAGAGGATAGCTGGATAAGTATGTTTATGCATAGGGTAAGATCTGCAAGTACGCCACATACAAAGCCAAGTACGAAAAGATAAACGTTCTTTGCTTAAACTTGCAGGCATTTCTCTCTCTGAACCGTACGGTGACTTCATCCTTTCAGTACTCTCTTGACAAAATTCAGCAAAATTTGTCAGGTTCTCACTCTGCAAAACCGAAAAGATTTCCCCGTGCCGAACTTATTGCGTGCTCCAGGAGCATAATTGGATCACCATATATACATGATAAGTGATAATCATAGTGTATTTCCTCATCAGCAGATGATCTTTTGACACCGGATGTTATTGCATAGAAGATTGGAAGAATTAAAGTTCCAGTTAACACACGTATCATGTCTTAATTACAAAAAGAACAACATACTTTCATGTTGGTTTTTGCAATTTTATCGAAAACAATAATGGGAGATGGTGTTTGCTTTGAAATATATATAATGGGAAATAATGCTCTTTTCGATGCATTCGTCTTTCTTGTCCATTTTCAAAATCTTTAACACAAAACGAAGGCATGAAAGCATTACTAACTGTTCTTTAACTAGAAATTTTCGAAACAATTTCATTTGTGCGTATCCAAAAAAAAATGAAGCTACTTCTTCAGGTCACTAAAATTCAGATATATAATCTATCTATCTATATCTAACTATGGTTTTGTACATTTTCTATAAAAAGAAAGCTATCTATTTATCTATATGTCTGTCTGTCTATCTGTCTATCTATCTATATGTATGTCTATCTGTCTGTCTGTCTGTCTATCTATCTAAAGATAGCTTAAAAAAGATGTCATTTAGAGCCTAGAAATTCTAACATTAAGAATAGAAAAAGAAAAAAAATGTTGATTGTTACAATTATATTTGTAATTTATGGAAAGAAAAGAGAGTTGTATACATAACCCAATCATATAAACCTATCAAGTAAAAAAAAATTGTATCTATGAAAAATATGTTGAGAGTTGTATATCAAATCCAATTTGATTTTTTTCAAAACTATTGTATATAAATTACAGTTGTATTTGTCGAGTCAAAATTTTTAAAAATAAGAGTTGTATACCAAATCCAGTAGCCCCATGCAAAAATATAAAAATCGAACAGCCCGTTAGCTAATATAATAAGCACATAGTGCGAAGTATCTAAAGCAATAAGATTGAATAAATCGAAAAAAATATTGCAGGGAAGATTTTCATTATTCATGATTATTTCACGGTCCAAATAATATCTAAATGAATTCAACAAAATTTACAAATTTATAGGGAAGATTGTGATGATCCACCAGTTATTTTACAGTACTTGAGAATATACCAAATTTTCTAATATAAATTTTGATACCATATTTTTTTAAGTTACCTCATGTATCACAAAGTACCAAAATTTATCTTGAAAAAGAGGTACCTGATATATTAAGGACCATAAAATTTTTCATTGTCTATACGTGTTTGGGAAGTCTTTGAAGCTGGGAGTAATCCAAAAGGGAGGCGGCCATTTCAACCATGGCTGAGGAGACACAACCTCACTCAAAGTATCGTCCTCGTAGTTGTACACACCAATATCCCTAGGAGTACCTTTAAAGGCCTGAAGCGAGCACTCATCATCATCAGTGAAATAGATGTGATTTGGCATCAACCCCGGATAATCCTTTGTAGAAAGGCAGGCGGTGTAATTGCGGCCGATGAACACATCATTGTCCCCTAAATCATAGTCAACAAACCTGTCCTTAATTATCATCAAGATCAAGCATGAGCACAGAAATTTCAGTAGTGCGTGTCACCGTTTGATCCGTCTCCAACGAGCTTGTGAATCTGAATATTTGTATAAAATCACCATGATTCGGGGATCGAGCAAGGTAGACAATGAGATACATCATGGGTAAAGTCTCCTGAACAATCACTCCTGTCACGTAGGAAGAATCCGGATTGATGTCGATGAGATGAACCACTCTGTGGTAAGTGATGGTGTAGAAAGAGGCCGTCATCGAAGATGCAGTCGGAGAAGCGGATGTTGTTGTGGAAGGTGATCTTATTCCATTGCTTGTCTGATGATCTAGCTGCATGTAAGGATTGTGGATGAGCATGATGGTGAAATCGCCAGTCGCTGGGTCGGAGGATGTCATTGCCTTCATGTAGATGAAGTTGTGGAGCTCGTCGAGCTGGTAGATTGCCGGAATCATGTCCTACTTTCTTGGGATATTGGTGTCGTAGAAGAAGACGTTATAGGCGGTGACATTATTGCCGGCGTCATCTTTCAGAATGGGGTTTACCTATTCAATGGTGGTGACGGAGAGGAGCGAAATCTGATCGCCGGTGATGAGGTTGAGGAGGTGGAGCTCAGAGCGGGCGTCGGCAATGACTGATGGGAGTAGCAGAGCCGACGATGTATCGGTCACTGATGGGTGGGCCTGGGAAGGAGGGGGCATAGGTGGTCTTGTCGGCGAGGCTGCAGAGCTCGGCATCGGCGACGGAGGAGGAGGCAGGGGGTTTCAGGGTGGGAGTAGAAGCCGTCGCGGAGGAGAGCGCGCGCGGTGGTGAGCCAGGTGGCGCGAACGGTGCCACAACGAAGCAGGTTTGAGAATTCTAGCGTGGTGAAAATGGTGCAGAGCATGTCGGCCGGTAGGTCTAACTAGTTGACCGGCGGTGGTGGTGACGCGGCGGCCATAGTGACGAAGAGCTAGCGCTAGAGCCGACAAGAAGAATTAATATCCCTAACAACTAACAATGAATCGGTGGGGCTTGACCTCATGTCAATCTTGTTGTTGTGGATTATTTTGCTAGCAATGGAACAGAGAAGGAGAACAGAGGAGAGAAGCTCTGTGTTTGTTTCACAAACTGGTTATGCTTTGCTCAAGTATTGCACGTTACATTGATTGTTGGACAGCAGCATCACATCTAGGACATAGCTGCCTATTTATAGGATGGCTAGGAACTTTTCTGAACACAACTAGTACTGGTACATGCATGAAAATACTAGAACTCACAAAGAACATATTATTGTCTACACTACTCTAGAAATTTCACAGAGGAAGGACTTGCTCCTTGACTTTTGTTTCATGAGTAGTAGAGAGAGAGTTAGAGAGTAGGCTGGTATGTTCTAGAAATAAATTAACTCCAACAAACTCCCCCTTAATTTATTTCTTGCAAACTCCGATGAGCTCTCTGTCGCGGACAAATTTTTCTTTGGATAAAGCCTTGGTAAATATATCTGCCAACTGCTCATCAGTTCGGCAAAATTCCAATTTAACTTCCTGGCGATCAACTGCTTCCCGGATATAATGATACTTGATAGCAATATGTTTCGTCCTGTCATGACTGACTGGATTTTCGCTGATCGCAATTGCAGACTTACTGTCGCAATAAATTGTAGTAGGCTGATATTGCTTCTCGCCCAGATCTTCCATAATTCTCCTCAACCAAACAACTTGTGAAACAGCTTTTGATGCTGCTACATATTCTGCTTCGGCTGAAGATAAAGCGACAATATTTTGTTTTTTTGTAGACCAGGAGCACATACCTGAACCAAGTGAGAAAGCGTAGCCTGATGTGCCCTTCATATCGTCAAGACATCCAGCCCAGTCACTGTCCGTATAGCCAATTAATTTTGATTCTTTAACTGGCTTATACCATATACCATAATCTGCGGTCCCTTTGATATACCGCAAAACTCTCTTTGCAGCGGTAAAATTTAATTGACTTGGGCTAGACATATATCTTGATAATAAACTTGCCGCAAACATAATATCCGGTCGTGTTGCGGTCAAATATAATAAACTTCCAACTAAGCTTCTGTAAATTGTTGGATCTACCTTATCAGCTCCATCTCTAGCCTTTTGCTTTTCATTTGGCAACAAGGGGGTTGTAACTGACTTGCAGTTATCCATCTTAAATTTCTTTAGAATATTTTCAGCATATTTCCTTTGTGATATAAATATTCCTTCATCACTTTGATGCACTTCCATACCGAGAAAATAGTAGAGCAAGCCCAGATCACTCATTTCATATGTATGCATCATATCTTTTTTAAAGTCTTGCATCATCTTCTCACTATTGCCAGTATATATCAAATCGTCAACATAGAGTGAGACGATTAGGATATCCGTACCTGTTTTGTTGACATATAGAGTAGGCTCACTTATGCTCTTGGCAAATCCTTTCTGAATAAAGTACTTGTCAATTTGACTATACCACACTCTAGGCGCTTGCTTTAATCCATATAAAGCCTTCTTGAGTCTGAATACCTTATTTTCTCCCCCTTGGACTGAAAACCCTTCAGGTTGTTCAACATAGATTTCTTCATCAAGATAGCCATTTAAGAAAGCCGATTTAACATCAAGTTGATAAATCTTCCACCTCTTTTGAGCTGCTAGAGCAATTATGGTACGAATTGTCTCTAGCCTGGCAACAGGAGCATATGTCTCATAATAATCAATCCCAGGCTTTTGCTTAAAGCCTTTTGCCACAAGTCTTGCCTTGTATTTCTGAACTGAGCCATCTAGATTTAATTTTGTCTTATAAACCCACTTAACTCCAATAACTTCTCTGTCCCTAGGACGATCAACCAACTCCCATGTATTATTTTTCTCAATCATATGAATCTCATCTTCCATGGCCTTTATCCAATTATCATGTTTTTCTGCTTCTTGGAAACTTTGTGGCTCAACAACTGAATAATTGCAAAATTCATGTTGTTCTGACCCTCTTTGTTGAGAAGTAGATTCTAATAATTCAACCATACTTCTTACCCGTCTTGGAGCTGATTCCGGTGTAGAAATTTGCTCTTCACTGCTCGGGCTTGAATCTGAACTAGCACTTGAGCTTGACATTGGACTTGATGGCTGTGGACTTGGAGTATGATCTTCCACTTCATGAGTGCCATGCATATGTGGTTGGCCTAGTGTGATGGTAGTGGTTGGCAATAATGGAGTACTAGAGGCTTCTGGAGACTTCCAGTTCCATGTAGCACTCTCATCAAAAATCACATCTCTGATAATGATAATTTTCTTTTTCTCCAAATTATAAAGTCTATAGCCTTTGATACCATCAGCATAGCCAACAAATATGCACCGATCACTTTTATTATCAAATTTTACTCTCTTTTGTGCTGGCACTTGAGCATAGCAAATGCAACCAAATACTCTCATATGACCAATGACAGGCTTTTTACCATACCAAGCTTCAAAAGGTGTACGGTTTGGTACTGCCTTGGTAGGACTTCTATTTAAAATATAAATTGCAGTATTAACTGCTTCAGCCCAGAAAGATTTAGGCATACCTTTGTCTTGGAGCATAGAATTGGCCATATCATTGATCGTCCGATTTTTCCGTTCTGCAACTCCATTTTGTTGAGTACTATAGCCTGCCGTTAGCTGTCTTCGGATGCCAGCATTTTCACAATATTTCTCAAATTCTTTTGAGATATATTCTCCTCCTTGATCGCTGCGCAATACTTTAATTTTTCGATTACTCTGATTTTCCACCATGGCCTTGAATTTTTTGAATATCTCCAAGGCTGCAGATTTTTCTTTTAGAAAATATACCCAGATCATTCTTGTATAATCATCGATAAATGTGATAAAGTACCAATTTCCTCCTTCTGAAATTGTTGGCACTTTACCAACTATATCAGTGTGCACTAGTTCCAATGGTGCACTTGCTCTCCAAGCTCCACTGTGGGGAAAAGAAGCCCGAATTTGTTTTCCAAATACACATCCTTCACATGGGTCAGACTTGAGAGTAATAAATGGAAGGCCTTGAACCATACCTTTTGTCCTGAGTAGCTTCAATGCTCTGTAATTAAGATGACCCATTCTTTTGTGCCATAAATCGGAAATATCAATTTCACTCCTGAGAGCCATTTGAGTTGGATGATTCATCCTTAATAGAAAATTTCTGTTCTTCTCCATATTTATTTTGGCAACCAGACGATTATTTTTACGGTCCAATATTTTGCAAGAAAAATCTTCAAAATAAACCGCGTACCCATGTTCTAGAAGCTGCCCAATACTTAGCAAATTTTGCTTTAAATCGGGTACCAACAAAACATCTTTTATAAATTTTGGACCGTCTGCTGTTTGAACAGCAACCGTACCTTTGCCTTCACTTTGGGCTATAGAGCCATTTCCCATGTGGATCTTTGCATGATATGATGAATCCATTTCTCGAAATAAATTTGGATCAGCGGCCATATGGTTTGTACAACCACTGTCAATAACCCAAACATCATCTTTTTCTTCTTGAGCAGTATGGCAAGAGAAAACCATTTCTTCAGATTTTTCCTTTTCTTGTGAAAAATTAGCCCGATTAATTTCTCGAGTTCTGCAATATTTTGCAATATGGCCCTTTCTTTTGCACTTGTTGCAGGTCATTTTCTTCCAGCACATATCTGTAGTATGACTAGATTTTTGGCAAATGTCACACCACAAATTTGAACTGGACGTACCTTTTTCTCTTCTCTCTTGACCATCTTCCTTCTGCCTGGAAAAGCCATTTTTCTAAAAATAACCACGGTCTCGCATTGGAAATCCATTTTTTTTGAAAATTTCCGCGAAACCTTGAGTTTTGAGGCCTGAAGCTCAACTTTGACTGAAATGCATTTTCAATAGAGCTCCCTTCGCGCTGAAGCTTTCTTTCTTCGTGAGATTCCAACGAGCTCATTAGTTGCTGAATTGTGAGAGTCGACAAGTCTTTCGACTCCTCAATAGCAGCAACAATGTACTCGTATTTTTCAGGCAGACTGATTAAAATTTTCTCCACAACCTTCTGGTCGTTTATATCTTCACCATAGAGGCGCATCTGATTAACGATCTCAATAACTCTTGAGAAATAGTCTTTTACCTTCTCTGACTCCTTCATTAGCAAATTCTGAAATTGTCTTCTCAAGGTTTGAAGCTTCACCGCAAGTACCTTCTGAGATCCTTGAAACTCCTCCTTCAACTTGTCCCATGCTTTCTTGGATTTCTTGGCGCCAATAATACGCGGAAATAGACTTTCCGCAACTCCTTGTTGGATCAAGAACAAGGCCTTGGCGTCCGACATCCGATCCTCTGCCAAAGACTTTTTCTGTTCCGCCGTAAGAGTTTCTCCAGCGGAATACTCTTGATAGCCATTCTCAACAATATCCCACAATCCTTGAGATAGCAGCAGCGTCCGCATCTTGATGCTCCATATATCATAGTTTTCTCCTGCAAATACAGGAACCATAGACTGCGCCATTGTGGCGCCCGAACTTGAAGCCATACTTGTAGCTTCAATTGACAATACCGATACGCCGTGCTACTCCGTCACGCCCTACTCGAACCTGGGCGCTCTGATACCAGTTGTTGTTGTTGATTATTTTGCTAGCAATGGAACAGAGAAGGAGAACAGAGGAGAGAAGCTCTGTGTTTGTTTCACAAACTGGTTATGCTTTGCTCAAGTATTGCACGTTACATTGATTGTTGGACAGCAGCATCACATCTAGGACATAGCTGCCTATTTATAGGATGGCTAGGAACTTTTCTGAACACAACTAGTACTGGTACATGCATGAAAATACTAGAACTCACAAAGAACATATTATTGTCTACACTACTCTAGAAATTTCACAGAGGAAGGACTTGCTCCTTGACTTTTGTTTCATGAGTAGTAGAGAGAGTTAGAGAGTAGGCTGGTATGTTCTAGAAATAAATTAACTCCAACAAATCTCAGTTATTATAGGATTGCTGCGGTTTGACCTCATGTCAACCATCCATTGGTAGTCGCCTCATTAGCCGTCGTTTCTTCCCCGTCTTCCACTACGGCGCCGATTCAGAACAACCCCATTGCTGCCACCTAGACTAGGAGGGGGGCGTTGGGAGTTAACGCCATCTATGGAGGAACCTAATTGAGAGCGAGTAGTGCGCACCACCTCCAAATGCGGCCGACAGCGCTCCTTTCCCTTCTCCCCTCTCCCTCTCATGATGCGGCCGGTGGTGCCTCGTTCTTCCCCTCTCTTCCCACAGTTGTTGCCACCACCGATCATAGACGAGGCGCAACCTTTCCCTCTCCCTTGGCTACGCTCGATGAGTGTCCGACCTTGCCTATGGCTCCATGGCGTCGTCTCCCGTCGCTCAAGCTTGGTGACGTTGCCCGAACCCTTCTCCTCTCCTGCCGATTGCCCATTCTCCCCGTTGCCCTTCTCCTTACCTGTTCACCCTACCCATCTACCGGGCAGGAAAGAGATGGGAAAGAGAGGGGAGAGACAGAGAGAGAGGAGGAAGAAGATCGAGAGAAGATGGAGATAATGAGAGGAGGTGGAGAGAGAAGAAGAGAGGAGATTGAGGATATGTGGGACCCACTTTTACTTTTTTTCCACGTATAAGTACCTAATCCGCATGAGTGGACCGTGTTAACCTACCACGTCAATAAAACCAACCATTTATATTGCTGGATGACCTAACTTATTGCTGGGTCAAGATTTCTGGTATTGCGGTTCAGGGATGTGATTCGAACTCAATGTCAGAAGGAGGGACCTATAGTGAACTTATTTCCTAGGCTGAAAGCCTCAAACTGAAGAACTAAATTTCCATTATGTCTTGGCCCACTATTGGTTTCGCAAAACTGACATGCAGGCCTTTATTAGTTGGGCCATATCAGGCTTGGGGCTGCAAAGGCCCATCATGATTCTTGCAGCAGTTATTGTGGGCTCGGACGCTTATAACATGCTCATACTTACTCCTATGAATGCACACACGCACACCATACCCCTATTAGCACCTTTAAAAGATTGGATCGGCATATATATCTTAATATTGACGAAGCCACCACGGGCGTCTCACTGTTGACGGGTACATCGCCAACCACTGAAAGAATATTAACTGTAAATGCGAGCACCTATGTTAAGTCTAGGACTTAAACTCGGATGGGTTGGTTCCACCATAAGACCTAACCATTTGAGTTACGCTCACTTCGCAAATATATTCCGAACTTATACTTTGGTTTTTAAATTTTGAACGGAATTCCGAAATACGAGATGAAGTAAAACGAAATTCGGGAACTGGGTCTAAATTTTTAATGTTTGAATCCAATTAACTTAGAGGGGTCAAATGAAGAGGATTAGAAAGGATTTTTAGTTTTTTGGCCCGACTTACAAATTCAAACTCATATATAGGAAATTTGTGGTGTGGGGGTTTTGAGTAAAGTCCAATTCCTGGAATTATTTTAGAACTGGAATTTCCGAGACTTGATTATTTTCTTTTTTACCTATGAACAAAAACAAACCGAGATATTGGCACACAACTAGCATAGCCATAGGGCCTATTGAGGGAGCTTCTGGCAGGAATCAAAAGCCCCCCAAATAGTTTAGCTTTTCATCCAGATTCTGAGAAGTGAGAAATTGTATTAACAAAATTTAGAAAATAAACTAGAACCCGGAAGCTAGGTTTCTAAGCTTCTCCAGATTCTCAAAAGCTAGCTACGTACCAAGCTATATTCTAGAATCTTAAGCTTCCCCTAAATAGGGCCATAATAAAAATCAGTGTGTTACCGAGAGTAGGAACTGTGTGCTTACATAGCAGGAATTTGGAAAAAAAAAGCCTAGTTTATCCACCATTTGTTTTGGTTGGGAAACAATGAACCAAGCCTGAAAATTTGATAAATTGTCCCTTTTCAAAAGGTCATTTCAAAACTAAATCGCGCATATATACTTCAGCCAAAAATAAACCGCGAGCTTAGCGCTAGGTCCGTTGACGTTGATCTCGTGCCCATGTGGCCCCTACACCGATTTCCTTGCCGACATGGCATGACCTCAGCACCAAATGCTAGGCTCCCAACCTTAGCTCCAGCCCTATTGCCTTGGCTTTGAGGTATGGGAGTTTATATATCTCCTCCCCCCCCCCCCTCCTCTTCTTCCCGTGCTCATCCATCTTTCACTCGACTTTCCCCAAAACAAACTATCGTTTTCAAGGAACCAAGGTCATTTCGATGGTAACTTAACTTCTTTACCTCCTACTATCTCAAGTTGTGATCATCTATTCTAGGTTGGAACTTGTATTAATTACCACTTAATGCCTTTCATATATTTAGAACACCATAGATTAGTTTCTTTAAGTCTAACATTAAATCTAACATAAGCTATAGTGTGTTTATTTTGTGTTAAAAATGTTGCTATGTTTTTCTATAAAATTACTTGGTCAAGTTTAACTTAAAAAATTAAAGCATTTATAGTATGAAGAAACGGTCAAACGGAGGGAGTACTTCCTCCATCTCAAAATAAGTATAGTTTTGCACTGTTCATATCCAACGTTTGACCACTTATCTTATTTGAAATTTTTTTATGATTAGTAATTTTATTGTTATTAGATGATAAAAACATGATTAGTACTTTATGTGTAACTATTCTTTTTTACTTTTTCATAAATTTTTAAAAATAAAACGGACAATCAAACATTGGACATAGATACCAACGCTGCATTTATTTTGTGACGGATGTAGTACCTATTAATTTTGACTAACATCCACAAATGATTTGGATAAAATAGATAAAGCTAACTCCTTAGTCAAACAGAAGTCGCCATGTTAATGTATAATATTTTCTGCTGTGGGATCAAACAATATTGCCTTGCGCATCAAGCTTTCTTAGGGTGTACGACAAGGCAACATGTGGAATTAGACGGCTGGGCACTAAGGACAGCAGCAAAATCAATGTACGTTTATGGTAATCATGCATATTTATTGGGTTAATATAACCGGGTGAGAGATTAGATCCACTCCCTTTCAATAAAATATTTATGTATCGCTTCAGGCATTCACCTTGTTTTTAGAAACAAGATTCATTGTCTAGAGGTGGTGCATATCTGGCGGTCTGGCTAGCAAGCACTATGCCTATTTCGACATGTGATCGCAATAAAGAAATACTCCAATTTTAAAGTAAGATTATTATACTGTTACTTTTAACAGTCCAAATTATAACGATCCAAAAGTTAAGGCTGAACAATATAGAAAAAGATTTTCAAAAAAAAGTTAAATTAACTAAATTTGATAACTTTTAAAGTTCAAATAAATAACCATGCATGCTCTAAAATATGGAGTAGTTTGGTCGATATGACAAAATGGATGCAGATTAATTAGTATTGCCCACAGAGCACATGTGAAATCTTGGCTTGACCCAACTTAACATTGGTCTATGTATATTTTGTTTCAGCTACTTCTTCGCACTTTCTTCCCAAAGTATACTTAACACCTCTTAATTAATTACCACTAGATCCAAAGACCATATCAACACTTTTCATTTCTCAAGTCTTTTTCATTTTCTTTGTCCAGCTTTTTTTAATTAATGAAATAAACATCCTGGCATTTACTCAATAGAGCTACAACCAATTATTATAAAGTATTACTCTAACAAATAGTGTAGTTCAAATAGAATGAAACACACCCAACAAAATAAAAAAAACAAAACCAAGATAGGAGTACACATTTATTGAAATTTATCTGTAAATCACCATCCATAATTTACAAAGAGTTAACCGTCGTTTCAAGCCTACGACATGCAACCTTCATAAGCTCTCCATCATCTTCACACTTTTGCGCGAGCACTATAAATCTGCACTTCTGCAGAGTGCGCAACTAGTTTGGCCGCGGCGCCATGGCGAATTCTGGGAAGAAGCTCATGGACGGCGGCGGCGTCGCTTTCCAGACGCTTCCACGCGCCGCCGGCGACGATAATGCCGACGACGACTATGTCCGGCCGCCGCCGAGGCCGCTGGTGTCAACCGTGCACGACAAGCCGGCCACCCATCCTCAGCAGGTGCACATCTCCGTGGTGGGGGCGAACAGGATGAGGATTTGCTGGGTCACCGACGATGACGACGGCCGGAGCTCGCCGCCGTCCGTCGTGGAGTACGGCACGTCTCCGGGGGAGTACACGGCGTCGGCGACGGGCGACCACGCCACGTACAGCTACTCCGACTACAAGTCCGGCGCGATACACCACGTCACCATCGGCCCGCTCGAGCCGGCCACCACGTACTACTACCGCTGTGGCGCCGGCGAGGAGGAGGAGCTCAGCCTCAGGACTCCTCCGGCGAAGCTGCCCGTTGAGTTCGTCGTCATCGGCGACGTGGGGCAGACGGAGTGGACGGCGGCGACGCTGTCGCACATCGGCGAAAAGGATTACGACGTGGCGCTCGTCGCCGGCGACCTGTCGTACGCGGACGGGAAGCAGCCGCTGTGGGACTCGTTCGGGCGGCTGGTGCAGCCGCTGGCGAGCGCGCGGCCGTGGATGGTGACGGAGGGCAACCACGAGAAGGAGAAGACGCCGCCGCCGCCGCCCGTCGCCGGCGCCGGCGCCGGCGTGCGGCTGTCGCCGTCGCGGTTCGCGGCGTACAACGCGCGGTGGCGGATGCCGCGGGAGGAGAGCGGGTCGCCGTCGAGCCTCTACTACTCGTTCGACGCGGCGGGCGGCGCGGCGCACGTGGTTATGCTGGGGTCGTACGCCTACGTGGAGGAGCGCGGCTAGGGGACGGCGGAGAAGCGCGCGTGGCTGGAGCGCGACCTCGCCGGCGTGGACAGGCGGAGGACGCCGTGGGTGGTGGCGGTGGCGCACGGGCCGTGGTACAGCACCAACGGGGCGCACCAGGGCGAGGGCGAGCGGATGCGCCGCGCCATGGAGCCCCTCCTCTACGACGCCCGCGTCGACGTCGTCTTCTCCGCCCACGTCCACGCCTACGAGCGATTCGTATGTATCGTAAACTTAATCATCTCTCTAATTCACTCATTTTGACCTTTTCTCAATCAAACCTCTTTAAAATTTTCACTCATTTTGACAACTAAATTAGTTTTATATTTTTTGATATGTTTGTTTTGTGGCAAAAATATTGTTATATTTTTCTATAAACCTGATGAAACTTTAAAAATTTTGACAATAAAATTGAATTATAATACGAAACGGAAGAGTAATTAACTCATCATGCATCATACATAGCATTCAATTACTCTTAATTGATGTAATTAATCGTGGGATTATGATCGATTACAAGACGAGGATCTACGACAACGAAGCCAACAGCCAGGGCCCGATGTACATCACCATTGGCGACGGAGGCAACGTGGACGGACATTCTGACAAGTAGACAACAATGCATAATCTCAAATAATACTCCATAAATTATCTCAAAGAATTTAGTGCTGATATTATCTTGACGAATTGATTCTTGTTAGGTTCATCGAGGATCATGAGTTGGCACACCTGTCGGAGTTCAGGGAGATGAGCTTCGGGCATGGGCGTCTGAGGATCGTGAGCGAGACGAAGGCCATCTGGACATGGCACCGCAACGACGACCAGCATGCCACTGTTCGCGACGTCGTTGTGCTGGAGAGCATGGCTGGAGCTAAGACAAATTAACCTCCGCGGATCAACGAGCTGTATCAAAGATAATTAATTAATTACTCCACACGTTCAGGTTCTCGATGTGATGCTATGGTTTGATTAGGAGGAATAAAATGCGCCATGTTATCTGTGTCTCGAGTGTGCGTGATCAGTCACCAACTCATTATTATCTTTTGCTAGAAAGGAAAAAAAAATAATGATATATCATTACACAAGCGGTACTTAAACATGTAGTGAAGTTTTACTTAGGTCCACAAACTTGCAAAATACACATCGAGATCATTAAACTTGGTATATCATCCTGGTCCAAACTCTGGTTTGACCGTGGTCTTGCCTACGTGGCATACCACATGGACGATGACATTGCTAAATTTTCTTTTAAACTTTTTTTTCTCTCCATCTTTTCTATTTCTATTTTTATATAGTAGAATAGAAATAGAAAGAATAGAAAGTTTAGTGTCCACGTAGCATGCCACGTAGACAAGACCACTGTCAAACGAGGCTTTGGACCGAGATGATATATTAAACCAAGTTTAGTGATCTCTCGATGCGCATTTTGCAAGTTCGTGAAACTAATTGAAACCTCGTTAGAAGTTTAAGGACCGCTAGTGTAATTTACTATATATATATATAAATATATGTACGCGACCTTGATACATGGATTTAATTTGTCGAGTATAAATTGCTGCAGATTTTGCTGATGAATTTTTTTCTATGAATCGATGAAATTAAATCTCTGTCGAAAACGCATCTTATTTGTTGAGCACATTATCACCGAAAAAAGAAGTCGAAAATTTTGCCGCCAACGCACTAGTAAGCTTAAGTCCAGGTTCGTGGCTGTCGTGTGGGCCCTGTACTAGTTGGGCCTGAACTGTATTGTGGGCTTGTGGCTCACGTGCGGGTCCATGATTTGCCTGGGCCGGACAGCATTGAGACTGACAAGCGGGCCTACTACAGTTGGTCCGAATCATTCGTATCTGGCTTGTGATTGACACAGCCCATCATGATGTATATCTGTTGATATCGTAAATTCAGTCATTTTTGTGATGCAACTTACTTATCGTCGAAACAAGATTTCGGCAATACTAAAAGGGGTGCTATCAAGCTGAAAAAGTGGATGAGTTTAGAGACAAGGAATTTTATACAGGTTCAGGCCTTCTTAATCAAGAAGTAATACCCTACTCCTGTCCGGGGATTGATCCGCCGAGTGTATTATTGATCGTATGATCTGGGAGAAAATCGTGCCCCTAGAGGCACCCGGATCCCTCCTTATATAGGGGAAGGGGTCCGTATTACAAAGTACAGTCCATATCCCTAGCAAAATAGGTAGTTACAGATAAGATACAATCGTAACCGACTAGGATCCCGGTTATTTCCTTGACATACAAGTTTAGAACTTAACCCGGGTCCTTTTAAAGATATTTTATCTATACATGACACCCCCCGTGTAGGTATGGGGTATCCATAATCTCCGCAGTAGCCCCTGAGACCTTTACAGTCGACGAAATAGTCTTCTTTCGTAATCCAAAACGATAATCCGAGTACATCGACTTCTTCCGCCCTAATCTCCCGAGTACCAAAATCAAAGACTCTGAAGGTCTGAAAATAGAAAAAATCGGGTGCATCGACTAGATGCACCTAATTAGGTGTAGCCCCCGACTATGTGATTAATTAAAAACTAAACATATAGTCAAGGTGCAAATAACATCCAACCGAGTGGTTTTACAACCGAATTATCCAAAATATCATACAGCCAAGCTTATGCGACGTTTAATAAAACATCCAGCCGACTGCTTTAGCTTTAATATACCAAAAATGGAAATATAAAGAGGCCCGAGTAAAAAATACTCTAAGGGTCCATAAATCAACACATATGACAAGAATCCGAGTAAAAACTCTCAAAAATATCCATCAAATGTGGTATAAATATGATAGTATGACAATTGATGAGTCTAAATAGCCTAGGCTATGACTCACGCCATAATCGAAATAAGCATATAACATGTCGAGAAAATGACTGTTCAAAAACCAGTCATCTCAACAAAACCCAAACAGCCTTTGCAGCCTAAAAAGGCTTACAAAAGTAGTATAACACTTTTCCGTCGGGCACCTTTTTATTTGCATCGTAGTAATTCCAATAAATTATCTAACTGCGTCAAAAAGGATTTTTAAAAACATTGGGCCATACTGTTGTGAGCAAAAGTTGCCGAAGCAAAAAATGCCTAAGTCCCTAAGGAACTTAGCCACGCCGGTAACAAAATTGGGCTGAAGTACTGTTTTAGGCCTAGGCCCATTAGTACTCCCAATACCCTAATAACACCAAAAGCCAAACGTCACTTCGTCTTCCCCGCCGAAACTCTCGCCACTTGCCCCATTCTCTGCTACAGTGCAAAGCCGCACCGGCGAAGCTAGGGTTCACCGATTCGCTCCAACCCATCCTCCAAAATTCCACAAAAACCTCCCACGCAACTACCGCATCAATCTCGCATCCATTCCCAGCCACATCTCGGATCAAATCACACCATCCAGTTCGTACCCATGGCGGAAGAGAGAGAAAGCTTTGAAAGTCAGTGGGCGCCCTCCGATGTAACGGAGGAGAACCTGAAAGAGATGGTGGCGCACGGCATTCTTCTGGCAAAAGAGATCATCAGGTGGCGTCCAGCGTACGGTGAAATGTTTCTGATCCCCGACACACACGAGGTGGTGGTATTCTCCCATTTCTTTTATGGCGGGTTTTCTCTTCCGACCTCAAATTTCTTCCGGGGGATTTTGGAGTTTTATGGGGGATTTTGGAGTTTTATGGGATCAGTTTGCATCACCTAAACCCCAATTCCATAGTCCACATCGCCAATTTTATCCATGCTTGCGAAGCTTTTCTAGGGATTAGGCCGCATTTCGCTTTATTCCGCCGCATCTTCTTCCTCAAACCCTAGCCAATCAAAAGCAAACCATGCATAGTTGAGGGAGCCGGATTTCAATTGAGGGGAACCTTGAGCCAAAAATACTTCTCCATGCCTTTCAAAACTTGGAATAAGGGTTGGCATGCAAATTGGTTTTATGTGCAAAATCCTGAACCAGCTCTTCCTGAGTACTCTTGCCTTCCGCCAGTGTATCAAGATACTTGGAACTTACTTTCAATGAGAGATGAAGCTGCTCAAGCGCTTGCCTTGATGGATCGTATGCTGAAGCTGAAGGAGCAGGGTCTGCAAGGGGAACAAATCACCCGACATTTTATCAAGAGCCGGTTGGCCCCAATCAAGGAAAGATCTCGCATGGCCTTTGAATTCAACGGCAAGCATGACCCTAACCGTGAAGATCCAGAATCTCTCGAGTTCAAGATCATGAAGGAGAGAATGTACAAAATCTTCTCAAATGCCATCGTGGTCAGCTATTCACACTTACTGCCAGTCGTGCCATATAATGCCTTCAACCCTCCTCCACCGGTACGTATTATACACCTGAGCCTTTCTCAAAGCATGCTTTTATCTTCTGTAAGGTCGGCTAAAAACTTGTAATACCTTGCACAGGAATTCGCTTTGATGAAATCTGACCCTCCAATTGCTCAACGCCGCTCACCCCGTTGGAAGACTATCCAAGCCAGTGGAGGGCCGAAAATCCGGTCTGTTGATCAACCAGACACTTCGAAGTCGACTAACCAATCTGACTCTCGTAAGAGAAAATTGGTTGTGAGTGACGATGAGGGCGATGATGCTGAAAAGGCTGGCAGCAAAGGGGAGACTGGAAAACAGCCAAGGCAAGCTAACCCGAAGAAGAAAACATCCAGTCGTCCCATACCAAAAATCAGGAAGTCATCCAGGTACAAGTCATTTAGCAATTTCTCCTGTATCGCTAACCATTCACCATTGAAGTAGTACTGATAGCATATCTCAAATTTGTAGGAAGCCATCTAACATAGATCCTTCTGGAAAAGACCCCGAGCCGACTGACACGGTGACGGGTCCTTCAAAAGAAACCGGGCCGACCGCCGAAGATTGCCCGAGTGATAATCAACCAGCAACTGATAATGTAGAGACCAGCAACGAGCCCCCGACTGGAAATCAGTCGGCCGAAGCTGGAGTCGGTGTTAATCAGGAGCCCCCGACTGGAAACCAGCCGAGTATAGAACAAAATAATGATATCCCAGAAGTAGAGGCTCAAGCTAACAGCCCTCCTAAAAAGGATGCTAGCGCCGACCCAGGATCCAGCTCTCCTGTTAGGGTACAAGGGCCTGCTTGTCCCCGACCAGAAGTTATAACAGGTACACAACTCTCCGAAATCTGCTTTGATCCGACAAACTTCCTTCAATTATATCACCATTATTCATGAACGCATAAGGTCCGATGAACGGTGACGAAGAAGAGATCCTCCGGATACAATCGGCTGAAGATTCTCGCCCGCCCATATTAGTCAAGTGGTGGGATGACGAAATGCGGCCGCAGGGGATCGTAATAAATAAACAAAAAGAGGACGAGGAAGTATGTCTGCTAAAAAAGACACTCGACCAAGCTACTCGCCTTGTAAATGTAAGTCTCCCTATACACGGCTTCAATCATCCTGTCGGCCACTTTGCTTAGATACGGATAAAGTTGTGGTGCAGAGAATCCATCTCAGGAATGAGGCGAAGACCACAACTCTTGAAAAATTAGTTCCCCATCTTGGAAGCCTTGAAGCAACCAGAGACCAGCTGCATGAAGCCAAAGAGCTTGCTAGGAAGACTAAACATGACCTTAGAGATCGGATTGCCGAGCTTCAAGACTCCAACTTTGAGCTGAGCGGTTCATCAAAAGGTAAATATCGTCTTTGTCTGACTTGTTTCATGTTGCTGTCCATGTGCAACTGACCAATGAAAAGCAATACAGTGCAAGCTTCCAAGATATCCGAGCTGGAGAAGCGAATCCAAGCTCTGGAGAAAGACAAGGCCGAATTGGCAAAAAAGAGGGACTCGGCTCTAAAAGATGTCGAAGGTACTAGTAGTCGAAACTTCAAAAACCACTCTCATCTTCATGCCCAGTCGTTAATGTGAATTTATTTGCGCAGATCGCAAAATCAAATCCCAGGCTCAGTTCGACGTCTTAGTTAACAAAATCAAGAAGCTTGAAGGAGCCAGAGATGAAGTCGCCAATGTTGCTACGCCACTCGTCCAGGCAATGTTTTTCAATAACAACGGTCTGAGTTCACTTGATGCTGTCAAAAGCTTCGATAAGCTGAGAGCTGCTCCGGATACATATTTTAAGAACATCAAAGAAGCTGGGAGTATGGGAGCAGGCCTAGCGTTGGCGATGACCAAGTCCTTGTACCCGAGAATTGATATTGATGCTGTTGACGGCTTTGCAGACGGGACAAGTGAAGATGCCGCACTTGACCTCATCAGTGATGCGCAAAAAGCCGCTGACAAGATAGCCGCTGATGTAGTTGAAAGATTCCAGGACAACGATCTTAAGCCGACTGGGTCTGATAACTCTGATGATGAAAAAACTGAATCTAATTGATTGTGTATTCCGATGATAATGGTGATGATGATGATGGAGGCATAATTTGTACAATACTGATAAATTTATGCTGTGCTTGATGATTTAAACTTAGCTCCAGATTTCTTAAAAGTTATTGTCAAACCTTATTGAGCCTAGAACCCGCAAAAGTTTATTAAAAACTTTCAGTCCTCATTGGCTAAGCCAAAAAATGAAACAAGGCAATGATAAATCAAGTAAGCAAATTGAATTGATAAAAATCACACTCCATTA